GGCATACCTTTGGCAATATATTTGTCCTAAAAGTAGGTTAAGCTCTGTCCCACTTTAAGCATACCCTCTGAAAATTTCCTTGGACTGCATACCCTGTGCAGCAGCAAGAGTTGAACAACCTACAATCCAAATGCCTTCTGATTGGCATATTGATGTCAACAGTGAGGATTATGTATGATGACGTTGTCATTTATAGCTGCAAATGCTGGAGGCGCATTCTTCATGAACAAATGAACAAAGACTTTCACCAGGCATGTATTTTTTTTTTGTATGTTATCGGGCAACAATTGACTGACTGCAATTCGATCAGAATTAGTGAACCGTCAAGAGTTATTCAGACAGGGTATCAATTACGGGCGCGACTTTTGCTTCGAATACCTCGCGAAAGTGAGAGTTTGTGTTTTATTTACTCGTTAGTTTTGTGTGAATTATTCGTGCCGCAGCTGCAGCTGCAACGAGCCGCATTTCCGCAGCTTCATGCCACATGCCACATGCCACATGCCCCTACACATAGATGGCACACTTCCAACGTGGCTCAGTTGGCCGCCTTGGCCAATGCGACATAATTAAAACGCAACATAAATAAACGCAACCGATGATAAATTGGCCAGGGCCAGGCCCTGGGCGGCAGGCGGGAGGGGGGCTGAGGGGCCTGAGGCAGGGTAGGCGCGGCACAGTGGAGCTCGGAAATGTGCGTTAATCCAATTAAATGCGCAATTTGCATGTGCAAACATAACAGCAAAAAAAAGAGAACAGCGCAAAATTGTTATTAATTAAAAATTGGTAGCCCCGACTGCAATTAGCAAGAAGTCAGAAGAAGTATTATAAACGGAATGACGAGGACTAAAAAATACCCTTCTGTTGATACACTTATGTGAGGTAAGATAGTATATTTATTACTGATGGATAGTTTAAGTCCCTAAATGTGACCCTTATGGGGGATGCTTATAGTTAGATTACCCTGAAATTGGTAGCCGCATAACGATGACGAGCAAATACCCTTCCATATATACATTTGTATGACGTTCGATATCTTTATTGCTAGAGGATAGTTTAAGCCCCTATGGAAAATGCGCTTTAGTTCGATTCCCCTGAAAAGCCAAGAAGCCAGAAGAAGTATAAACGACGAAATGACGACGAGCGAATACCCTTCCATATGTATACTTATACGACGTGCGATATCTTTATAACTAGAGGATAGTTTAAGCCCTTAAATGTAGGCCTTATGGAGAAACAAGAAGCCAGCAGAATAATTTACAACTGAATGCCGACTACCGAATGCCCTTCTATATACACACTTATATGACGTGCGATATCTTTATTGCTAGAGGATGGTTTTAACCCCATCAAAGTAACTTAAAAGTGGAATCCTTTTCCGATAATACTCCCCTAAGCCTTAGCCAGAGATTCGAACCCCGAACTTCGAGCACAAGTAAGCACCAGCATAGGAGAATGCCTTACCTACTTCTGAATTTTTCAGGGCAAAAGTAAGGCACTTCTCAATGTGCATAAAGCAAGGCCATAAGCACGCGCTTGAAGTGGAATGGCTTGGAAATTGAAAGAAATGGATTGGAATTGAGAATGGGACATCCTAATGGCCAATTTTGGCTGCAGCCTGACTTTATAATGGAGGTCATTATGCAGCAGCAGGAGGAGATGGAGCAGGAGCAGAAGTAGGAAGAGGAGGTCCTTATGCAGCAGCAGGAGGAGATGGAGCAGGAGCAGAAGGAGGCAGAGGAGGTCACTATTCAGAAGATGGAGCAGTAGCAGAAGGAGGAAGAGGAGGTCCTTATGCAGCAGCAGGAGTAGATGGAGCAGGACCAGGAGGAGGAATAGGAGCAGCTGGCGCTGGCAGGGCCTGGCACGCATAAATGCAGTTCATTTGCTGGAGGCTTCATATTTGGGACAATGTCCTGGCTGGAACTTTGCCGGCGTTTGTTTTGGCTGCTTTGCTTGTTAGTTTTGTTTGGACAGAGCATGTTGTTGTAGGTTGTTCAACCCACAGTGGCAACTGCCTACGACGACATGTTGTCGTCTGTTTTGTTTTGTCGGGCAATGACGACAGCAGCAGCCGCCATTTAAAAGCCATTCCTCGTCCGCGCGCAGCCAAATCAAAGCCAACAGCAGCTCCAGCGGCGGCACGTGCCGCCGCCTGGATGATAACATGGAAATCATGGCAAATAAACTGCAGTGTAATGCGAACATTCTACATGCGCGCCATACACTGAGAGAAAACTATGGGCATTTCAAATAGTTTATGTGCAGGGAATGTGACTTATAGATACCCTGCATAAAGCACGGGTCACATGGAGCAGGGGAATGCAACTCCGCTCTGCGGACTATTCTTTTTCAAGGCATGCAAAATATCGAACTGAAGATACCCTGTAATTAATTACATTAGAAGCACGTTTGAGACATTCTCTAGGCATGCTCAAGTTCGCATTGAAGATACCCTGTAACTTATTACATTAGAAGCACATTTGAGGCATTATCTAAAGAAGTTTTATTACCAAATACTGGAAGATACCCAGAGCTAAGCTCTAGAATCGAATATAACCCAGCAGATTTGCGGGCAAAGGGTATCAACTACTTATATAAATCTGATTTAAAGATGCGCACAGTCGATTAATTATAATTGCTTCCAGTGATTCGGCTTACAAGCAGAATTTAGCCTCAAAATGCATATTTATGAATTACATACAACAATTTTCTCTCAGTGCATGAAACACTCGTAAAGCACACAGCAGTGTATCCAGTACCCGGCTGTACTTAGAACCCCAGGGGTGCGATTTCGGACAGCCGTAAGGCGCATAACATGAGCCATCATTTAGGCACTAAGCACAGGGTGGCCAGGGGTGGGGGAGGGGGGGGGGGCTAACATTTTGAAAATTTAACTTGTGCAATTTGCATGAGCGGCAAGTAAAAGTAAAAACGATACTTTTGGCCCAACTTTTCTGGCCATAAAGCAGCAGCAACAGCAAACGGGACGACATGCAGACAACAAGCTGCCAAAAGGAAGAGCAGACCGAATATTAAATACCCTAACAGATTTCGGTTGTTGCTATGGCAGCTAAATTAGATAATGATTCGATCCGGCAGGATCTGGCATAGGGAAGAGCAACTCCGACCTCTGCTAGGGCTACGCATGGTTAAAATGACTCGACGGCTAATTGCCTGATTCCACTATGCTCAACATTTGTAACATTTACAAACTTCACATTCTGCGATTCACGATTAGCAGGTAACAGTTGTCGTTAACATGTGAATGGCGAAAGTACCGCTTCTTTAAATAAACAGCTGATCGGTTTGATTTGATTAAGCTAAGCAAAGTATTCCCTCCAAAAGTCAAATAATAATAATAATAATAATAATAATAATTGCAATAAATGTAAGAAATGTTGTCAACCTGTTGTCAAATTTTTTTAAAATTTTTTGCGAACATAAAATTTGTTTGCAAATGTTAAAAATGTGTTTTCCCTTGGGAAAACGTACGGGCTACATATTTCACATTAGCAAAGAATGTTAGATTCGCAAAAAATGTAAGAAATGTTAGCAGTGGAATTAGGCTATTAGACCGATTAGACAAAGCGAAGCGAAAGACGTACCTCTGCAAGGGCTGGGCATGGCTATAACAATTCGAAGACGTCTTCTGCTATGCGTTACATAAGCCTTGGCAAAATGATGATACCCTACACAAGCGTATGACAACAATGGAAATACAGGCATAATAAGCACGTGTCCTTTGTCCTGGCCACGACACACATTCTGGCAAATGTTGTTGCTGCTGTTGTTGTTGCTATTGTTGTCTGGTTGTCGTCTGAGCTGGCAGCAATGCAAACAGGCAACACCCACACACAGAGGGGGGAGGGGGAGGGGTGGGGCTGGGTCACGGGGTGGGCGGTGTTTGCATGTGTTAATGATGGATTGTTTACGGAGAATTCGAGTCCTTGTGGAAACGGTTTCTAATCGCCGCCGAGTGTCCTTTCGCTTTGCCGGGGCTTCTGCTGAAAGTTGTGCAACCCCTGCAGCTGGCCAGCAAAATTTGAATACCCTATAACTCATACCCTAACTCAGCTCCAGTCTGACGGGATATTTTGCTTGTGGTTTTCTTGTTTTTTTGCGGGAGTTTGTCCTTTCGTGCACGTGATTTCATTGCAACAATTAATTTTGTGCAGCTCATTAAGCAACGAAATTTGTTTTGGGTTTTCCGCGCGGAGTTTTCTTTGTGTGTTTCGCTGTAAACGACGCATTTTGAAATTTTCCATTTTTGGCTTTATGCAGCAACAAATTGAAGTTAATGTTCAGGGTTTTGTTGGGGGTTGTGATCGGGGTTGGGTTGTGGCTGACTGGCTTTATAAAAGTTAATGGCCTCGCTAGATAGCTAATGTGCGCCACGGACAAAGCCCGTTTATGGCTAGGGTTAATGCTTAAGGCCAAGACAGCATTCAACTACGCAAATATCCCGAAATTGTGTGCGCAATAGAGTATAAATATGTGCTGGGACAGGTGGGTTGAGTCTATGTGTGTGCCTTAGTAATAAAATAAAAGCTTAGTTTAGGATATAGACGAGAAGCTGATAGGAGTAGATAGATTATATAATTTACCTGACATTGAATCGAACTTAAAGATTGATTATCCCATACAAAAACAAAATGTGTGTTCCAAAAAAATGATGCCACATTGTGCTCAGCGACAAACCATAAACAAAAAGCTATTCCGCATGAAAATCCGTTCAGTTTTGAACGAGTTTTGGGATTCCGAAATCTTTGCCAGAGGCAATAAATACAATAGCTATTTCCAACACTGACAGCCTGACAAACAAGTCGCTGCACAACACTGTCAAACATAAAGTGATAGCGAAAGCATTTGTCATATCATTGTAAAGCTTTAAAGTGTCTTGGAATTTATTAAATATATTTGCCAAAGGCAATAAATACAATTGGCACTTCCAACACTTTTCAGTTGTGCTTTACAACACTGACAGCCTGACAAACAAGTCGCAGCACAACACTGTCAAATGTAAGGTAAAAGCAAAAGCATTTGTCACAGCATTCTGTAGCTTTAATTTGGCTCGTAATTTGTAAAAAATGGAGGTCGACAAGGCAGAGACTGAGGCGGAGCCGGCATCGGCATCGTCCAACGAGGAGAGCGACGACGACGCGGACGCCGATGCGGATGTGGAGGAGAGTCCGCGCGGACGCAAAAGTGTCAGCTCGATAATCGCCGAAATGGCCATCAAGAACGAGCAGGAAGCGGCCAGCAGCAGTGCCCGCACCCAAAAGGAGGACGAACTAAAGCGAATGGGTACGAGAGCGAGTCCATAAGCTGGAATCAATGCACCCAAGTGCAGCTAACTTTTCCCTTTCCCATCCCTCCCCCCCCCTCAGAGCTGTCCAATCTGTCGCCGGCGGCCATGGCCGCCTACATACGTGAACTGGAAGCGGAGCTCTACGAGCTGAGCCAGCGCGAGGCCCGAGAGTTGTCGCGCAGCAAGCACCTGCGCATCTTTGGCAACACACGCAGACGATCCAGCAAGTAGGCGTGGCAGAGGCGGGGGGCGATTTAGGGGTAAAAAGTATATCAAATAAATGGCCATCAACGGAAGGCGAACATAACGCCAGTTAGCTGTAAGTAGCTGGCCATGTGGCACATGACAAAATCCGCTTACAGGTCTTAATTTCCTGACTTGGGACGGGTCTGTGTCCATTTGGCTCGGGCGGACATTACACATCCGCCGGCTGCTTATTTACTGGCCTCAGCAAACACGCAAATGCACAACAAATGGGCCAGAGTTGGGGGTTGCGTCCGGAGTTGCAAAGAGGACTGGGACTGGGACTGGGAATGGGCCCGGGACAGAGCTCATCGGCATTTGATTAGGGAGACACAGTGCTTCGCATCGCAGCGCATCGCCAGTTGGCTTAGTGGCGCTCTTATGCCCTAACTTTGGGTATTATGGCTTTGTCATGAAGTATGTGACGCTTTGAAGGAGAGGCCTGAGTATAAATCCAAGTCTATCTATCTCTCTATCCGTCTAAGTCCTTGAAAACCTTTAAGCTATCAAGCTAACTTAAGCCAGACTCTGTAGCTGGCAATAGATATGGCGTAGTCAGCCGGTTCGAATCCTTACATCAGCTGCTTTATGCTCCTTGCCCAATAGTCAACCCTTCGAACCAGTCTGTCATACAGCTCCCAGGGGTACAGGTAGCTGAATAAAGCAACCAGGGCGAAATTGTCGTTGATTCCGTTCCTGATTCCGTTCACGGTTCGAATCAACTGTCTGATTTGGTTCACGGTTCGAATAAACTATCTGGTTCAGTTCGTAAAGTTGGCTTTTCCATCTTTGGATTCAGGTTTTGGTTCGTTTTTTCTATTTGAAGCCAAATCATTTCGATCTGGCTGTTTCATTGACTTAGTTTGGTTTAAGGTTCGGTAAATAGTGAAAAATATTCTGGAAGAAGTTTGAACCAGTTCAACTGGAACCCGGATTTAGGCCTTGCTAATTTAGCCTTATACATCGAACCACAATATGGTCTAAGTTCCATAGAAAGAATCTGCTGGAAATGGACTCTCTTCGACTTGGACCTAAGTTTTGGTTCGGGTTTTCTATTTTGACCCACAGCATTTTGATTTGGCTGTTCTTTTGACTACGTTTGGTTTAAGGTTCGGTTCATAGTGGAAAATATTCTGGAAGTCCAGGTTTGAACCAGTTTAACTGAGACCCAGTTTTTACCTTGCTAATATAGCTTAATACATCGAACCACAATATAGTCCACAACACACAACATGCGATATATTCATTATGCCCGGGTAGAGTATTTAAGCTTCGACTCTGCCCTCTCAGTTAATCATTTTGCCTGTTGTCTTTGTCTACCCGTTGTTGGCACTGCGTAGCTCAACTCTATCCCATTAGTAACTCAATTCAACGCAAATAGTAGGAATTTTATTACGTGGATTTGAGCTAATTCTTTATTTCCTGTTTGGAACTGGAACTGGAGCTGGAGCTGCTCGAATCGCTGGGGAGTTGTTCTTAAGTTGATTAAATTTCACGCGATTTGATTCGATTTTCAATTATGTGAAACCGCAAAAGCAAAATGCATCAACTCGATTATGCTAAATAAATACACATTTGGATGTCATTTATCTGTCGCTCCCCCAAAAAACGGGGAGTTCCTTCCAGATTTTGGGGTTGTACAATTTCCTGCTCTCACTCTCAACCCTTTCCACCCACAGAAGGGGAAGGAGGTCGCAGAGCTTGTTTAGGTAAATTGCAGTCCCAGTCAGAGTGAATGTTGTCACCGCCGCTTGGTTGGGTTTGCGGGTGCAAATGGTTGTCAGCTTCAAAAGGGATTTCTCATCGTCAGTTTCTGCTGATTTGGGGTTTGTCAAAACATGGCATTACCCAGACGAGCCCGAAAACAAACTGAATGCAACATGTGTCCAGGATTTGCTTTCGTTAATTTCCAACCCCCTCAGATATACATAAACGTCGTGTCGTACTGGGGTGCACGTCGTCTAAGGGTAGCTCCGGCCTAATAGAATATGCTCATTATGGGATTTGTGCTTGAGTGTGTTTCAATGTACATAACTCAAACTAAATGATTATAAATGAATTCATAATCTAAACAGAGCGCCGAATACCGCAAATCTTCACAAATCAAAACCGTGAAAGGATTTAATTTAGTTGAGTGCCACGTCTCGGTTTTTGCGTCTCAGTTGAAACTAGAGCTGGGAGCTGGAAGTTGGAGCTGCCAAAGTTGAAAGTGCGCAGTTTCCTTCTGGTTTGAATACCGAATGAATAAATGAATGAATTAAAAAACTTTGTGTTGTTCTCAGGCCTCCACCAGAGCTGCAATTTGCAGCTACTTTCTCTCACGTTCACATTCGCAGCAAACAAGTGAGATAGCGATGGACTTGACTGCTGCCTGACTAGCGTGTGCCTTGTAACTTTTAGCCAGAGGTTAGTTTAATCTAAAAAAAACTACATTTATTGCTGAGAATCTATTTATTACTAGACTTCACAACATAATAATTACTCCAAATACTGTTAAGACCATCATTTTCTATTACAAACCAAATTCTCAGCCGCTTATCCTCTTGTTACTGTTAAAGTTCATGTTAGTCAGAGGCGAAAAGTTATTGTTTTAAATAGAAATGGGGCACTGCATTTAAAGGCTGACAAAGCGTGGATCAACCTTTAGATCAACAGTGGTTAGATCTGTTTGTCTCTCTCTCTCTTTAACTGAAAGTTGAACTGCCTGGTAAAGTGGCTGGCAACTTTGCTAGGCACTTGAGTTCAGGACAAGCAGTTGAAGCTTTCTCTCATATGTGTATTTATAACTAGACTTCATAACAGAATGAGTACTCCAAATGCTGTAAAGTCCAACGTGTTCTTTTACAAACATAATTCTCAGCAGCTTTTTCTCATCTTATTGTTAAAGTCCATGTTAGTAAGAGGCGAAAAGTTTTTAATAGAAATGTGACTCTACAGAAAGGTTGACAAGCCGCAGATCAACCTTTAGATCAAGATGCAATTAGATCTATCTCTCTCTCTCTTTCTCTTTAACTGAAAGTTTAACTGCCTGGTAAAGTGGCTGGTAACTTTTTCAGGCACATAATTTTCATACAATCAGTTAAATCTCTCTTTAATATGTATCTACCACTTGCCAGCATTGGCTTAGGGTACATCAATTAATTGTCCGTAGCTGCAGTCAATTACAAGGAACTGGCAGAGTTCAGTTGGTGGTCGGAAAACCTTTCAGAGCAATACCTTATAATTGAGTGTGTTGTGTGCGAGTGTGTGTGTGTGTGTAACTGTGTGTGTCTAATTAATGTGCGCGCCTATTTGTTAGTCAGTGCATGGGAGCTACTTTTGGCAGCAGCTTCAGTTGCACTTTTCATTGGAGCTCATCAGCATTTAATTAGCTGCAAGTCGAGTCGAGGGGCACGCAGCTGGTGGCATGTGGCAAGCCAGAGCAGAAGATACCTAATTACAGTTAATAGCAACTGGCGCAAGCACATTGTATGTTAATTTATTTATGTGCAGTTTATGCAAATTCTCACATAACTCGCATGCCAAATACGTTTATTATCCATCTATGCTGATAGAGGAATTTCCACTCGCAGCTAATTGCAACGTGCTGTGGCACATTCATAAATTTGCCAAATGCTTTTTATTTATGTTTTATGTGCGGGGCATTAGCCGCTTAAAGTGAGCTTTGGTCAGGGCCAGGATGCAAGCAAGGGGGCGGAAGGGGGGAGGGGGGGGGGTGGTGGCAGACACAAAGAAGTCGGCGAACGTCTGGGTCTTCGACTCCGACGCGCCCGAGCTCTGGAGTTCGGGTTCGCTAAACTCCAAAAACTAAACCAAGTTGCGGGCAAAGCAAGCTGCAAGAACAAGAAGTTTGACAGTGACCGACTTGCTGATACCCTGTGATTGGGTATGTCATGTCTCACCCCGGGCGAAAGGTTTTGAAATCTTTCAGTTGAGTGCAATGGATGAATGCAGGAACAACATTAAACAAACACGTTTTGACAGTGACCGACTTTCTGATACCCTGTGCTTGGGTCAATATCGCGCATATATCCCCCCAGGCGAAACGTTTTCCATTCAAGTGCAATGAAAGAATGCAGAAGCAAGAACAAGAAAACAAATCTGACAATGATTGACTAGCTGATACCCTGTGCTTGGGTCGCTACCGCGCATTAAACCCCCCAGGCGATACGCTTGCAAATCCTTCATTTCAGCGCAATGGAAGAAAGCAGGAACAACAAAAACAATCAAGTTTGACAATGATTGACAGGGTAATACCCTGTACTTAAGTCACTATCGCGCATTTATCCCCCAGGCGAAAGGTTTTATCTTTTATCTTCCATTAAAGTGCAATCAATATGCTATTTCTGCTTATTCTGATTAGTCCTCCTTATATATACATATTTTGTTCATTTGAACACCCTTGTAGAGTGTATACCCGTTGCTGCCTAGTTACAGGGTATGCGCACAACAATAACAAAGGACACACACAAGGGCCCTAGCAAAAGGATAAACCATTTGCAAGCACTTTTCTGCAGCCTTTCATCTGTTTATCATATGCTTAGCTCACAGCTTCTCGCTCCGCTCCCCTCCCTTCGATGTCTGTGTGTGCCTGGCCAAGGTATTCGAATTGTCCAGGTTCCAGGCACGTCGTTAGTGTTAATTTAGTTGTTGCTGCACCTGTCCGACAGTCTGCCGTTTGACATTTTATGATGCTTTATTCAGCTCTATTCAGTTATTCCATCTGAAGTTGTCTCCTGTCCAAACGACTCACTTGGGCGCGATTAGACGCCTTGGCATTGCCCCAAACGCCGCTTTGGCCGCAGAGTGGGCGAGCGGGAATGGCAGTTGGTTATCCAGCTTAAACAAGTAGGAAGTGCCCGACTGGGAAATACCCTGTAGCTAACGCCCAGCTGCCTTGACAAGAATTCAAACCTTGCAGCTTCTTTCCCTATACTAAAAGAAGTGATTTCTTGCATAGCTTCGGTGCCGACTGTCTGATCTTTCAAATGGTACCCCCAAAAACCGTTATATACATAGGTCAAAATTTCCCACCCCCATAACTCGGTCAAAACTCAACCGATTTTCGTAAAGTTTGGCTTTTTGTGCATGGTTTGGCCTCTAGATCA